AGACAGTGAACCCCCTGAAACCCATCACATGGGCTTCTAATGGTCCCAACACTTACACTAAGTGGTCCTTGGGCCAAGCCACCTTATAAAAACCCAGGGATTGTGGGCAGATGCAAGATTAGCCCACCAGGTATTACCCTCAATGGTCTTACACTTAACCTCTCAGCCCATATTGATCAAACACTATCCGACAAGAGATGACCTCTCCCTAGGCTGCAAGGAACAGTGTTGCACTCTCTATTCACATGGATCCCGGGAATTAAAACCTTTTGCAAACATTTTGAAACCGTAATATATTCGTATATAAATATATTTTGCAAAACAAATTTCAACGATTGAAATCGGTTGCCAGCAGTCTTGGCTTCCATCAGAGAGAGTGCATCCCCGATCATTCACTTTGTTCGACAAAGGGGTTGATCCTGTCACTATGATCACCCACTCAGATGAATTCTCAGACTATCCCAACATACCCAGGTTTTGACCCCTCTAAGGATCTCATTGATTGGCATATAAAAGACAGCCAAATCTGACACCTAGTGCAGTTTCATAATCGAGTCTAGGGGTCAGGTGTAACATTTTAGTTTTGCCCATTAATCACCAAGGTCCAGGGCAATATTAGAAATCTGGTCCGGTTCAGGGTTTCAAGTAAACCTGCACTGCATGTACTTCGGGTCTCACCCTGGCAGCTGAGACAGGCCACCCCAACACTTGGTGGCACATCAGTGTCAGCCTTAGCAGGATAAATTTCTTAGACTTATCCAACGGCTGTGAACATTCTAAACTAACACAAGTCTCATTATGTTTCCAGTTTAAGGGTATTACACAGAAACACACCACAATAACATGAATCAAATATGTACTTAATTCATTTACATTAAATGTCATAAGGTACATTATTCTGATTGGAGCTAAGGGCATACACTGTCTAACATTCCTTTCCCTTAAGGATTCTCTATGCACACTACTTCTTTTGTGACCTTTTATACTGACATGGAGCGGGTAACATCATTGTTCAACGGGCGCGCTTTTATAAAACTCACACGCGTAATTTAAGGATGCACGTGTAATCGTCTTTTACTCCCGGTCTACTGTGGTTCCGTGGTTCTGTAATGGTCTCGGGATAATCGCAACTATGTGCGCATTCGAAATTCATCGCAAATCCACGCGCGTCTTATAGATCCTTGCAGTTTCACACGTGTCTAAGCTTTATCGCAAGTTTATGTGTGTCTAATGTTTATTGCAAATTTGCGCTAATCGACATTCATCGCAAATGTGCGATGGGTTATGGATTAATCGTAGGCATCTGTGTGGTATTGATTTGACACTTTTTGTATTCTAATAGTCTTAATGACCACTATGTACCTACATTAGGTTACACGCTTTTGGATGTAGGGACCTGAGCAAAAAGGTGGGAAAATATATCTACACCCCTTTTCTATTAAAAGCCTCCACCTTCGGACTTGGTTGCCTAACTCAAAGACTCTTAAATTTGCAGAAACAATAAAAAACAATACAAACAAATAAAACATATTTTATTAGTAAAATTTATGAAAAATATCAGTGCTTTAACCTCCCTTCTACTTTGATCTCTCCAAAAACTTCCCTTTGCATTTCAAATAAGTTGATTTTGAGATGTTAATAGAAAAGACGACATCAATCTTACGAACAAAACAAAATTTTGATATTCATCAAAAGCAAAAAAAAAAAAACAAAATTTTGATTTTGCCACGAGATAAGGATATTGAAATATCCGTTGATTGGAAAAAGCACAAAAGTATCAATATGAAGATTGAGCCTAAACTACCCAACTTGGGCCCAACCCACACTTATAAATTTGATCCACTCGGGTTATGCTCGAGCTTGGGTTACTCAATCAGCCCAAAATAAAATTTGACATCAAAACTTAAAAAGTTTGTGCACATGTATGCATG